TTGATTTTATGTTGTTGAATTATTTTAAATCTCACAAATATTCTAAAAATATATACTAAAATTTTAATTTTTTAATTACTATTCAAAAATTATAACAATATCAATATAATATATATTTCTCTGTATAATATAACTACCCGCAAAATTGCGGACAAACACCTAATATTATCTTATTCAAAAACAACGATCATCAAGTATATAGTGACTTTAGGTTCAACATCACATTAAAAACCACCTTTGTCACCCTGTGCTGGAACACTTCCACGATAGCCATGAAATTCTTCTCACCCGTGTGGTGATGGATCCAACAAAACTAAATCCACTAAAATAATAAATACTCTTCTTAAAATTATTGCATAGGATTTTTTATTTAAGATTTTTTTTTTTTAACACTGATTAACTATGCATTACAAACTATGAGAAATATTAGATAGACGATATTATATCTTACAATTATATATGCCTTATGCGTATTCACATTTAACTGCATCAGCATGAACCGTACTATAAAATCCATTTCTAATGATATTTCTTGTGGCATGCTGAAAATTTCTTGTAAGCATTTTTTTTCCAATAATATGGAATTGAAATTTTCTTGGTGTAGAAACTACATAGCCTGGAATTCAAATCTCAGACCTGGTGTAGAAGCCTTTAAATCTTAACCGCTAAGCAACGACGCTTCCACCTGCTTAAGATCTTATGCTAAGTATATTTGGAACCAAAAACTCCAAATTCATTATTTTGTATCAAATGCTCTTTTTCCATTATCATTCCACAAGAATCTTTGTTTCACCAGTCAAAAAAAAAAAAGAATCTTTGTTTCAGTAAATTTTCATTTTTCACATAATCCACATGCATCAGAAAACAAGAGGTGAATCAGAACTAAACATGTTCAATAATCTCATGTCTCTCAAGATATCTTGAAAACACCCTCCATTCCTTTGTAGCACAAAAGGAGCAACACAGCAGTCATGGCCGGCTCAGTACCATGGTGGACCTCGGTGCAAAAATAATTTTAGACTTCGTCATTAATATTTTTGTAAAAAGTTTAAATTCAAAAAAAAAATTAAGAATAATTTTGTTTAAACATTTTTAAGAGGTTAAATTATTTTGTATTATCATATTTTTATTATGCTATATATTTAAATATATATTATATATATAATTAAAACAAAAAAAAAAATTAAAAAAATTGGTATGGTCCCGGGGCGATCGAACTGACTGCCGGCCCTGACAGCAGTAGACATCTAACCTAAAGCAGAGCTTCAAAAACATCAGTCCAACTCAATTATGCAAGAAAGCAGAAAAAAAAAACAACACACAAACCTCTTATAACAGTAAAAAAATCAGATTCATCTGGGAAGAGACACTTGCAGTGAAACACGTTATACGTACCGACAGTTTCAACCAATAAGTTATCTTCCAGCTTTAGCAGAAGCTGCAAGATTAAACAACAAAAAAAGTCAACACACACACTAGTCACTAGAAACCGTAAACACTAAACCAAACAAAACAACAAATCTCAAAAACTTTGCCAAATGTTGTAAGGTAGTTACGTTGAAACACCCTAGTGGTACCATCAGTTCAGTTGCAGTGACAGTTCGGTACATTAAACCCACTTTCCACAAGTTCTTCTCCAAACGCTTGTGGCATACGCGAGATGAAAAACAGAGAAGACGTGGTTCTGGAGCATATCAATCGCATTAGTTGTTGTCGTCATCATAGCTCGACGTCCAGTCAGAACACACAGTGAGTAAAGTAAACCCTTACGGCTACAACCTCTCTGCAACTAGAGAAGTCGAGTTGTTTTGCTCAGCCGATTAACCGCAAAGACGACACACAGTTTCGAATGAAAATGCAAGAACCGACACGCTTTCTTCAATTTGTACGAATGTTGACTTCTCCCTACATGTAGTTAACCAATCCAAACCGCATATATTAAATTGATTATCTCTATCATATTGTCTGAGAAGTCACTTTCTTAGGTGTCGCGTTCACGTTAACTCTCACGTTGGTTGATTACTATGATACCCTTAATGAATTAAAAATATATTTAAATATTATTATTCCCTTTCTAAAATCTTCCAAATAACAATATAAAACAAAAAGGAAATATTTCTAAAATTTACAAAACTATTTAAAAACAAAAAATAAGTTTATATATAATATGGTTTCATAAAAAAAAAAAGTTTACAAAATAGTAATATTTAACTTAAATATATTTTTAAATAACGTAAATTATACTTTTTAAGTAATTATACTTTATATCTATATCTTCTTAGATGAAAAAAATATTTGTATATAATGTGTTCTCATAAAAAAAATTCCTACAAATAATCTTGATATTAGAAAAAGAAATATTTTTTCTTTAAAAAAAAAATTTAAACAATAAAATATATATTTTCAAAGTAATTAGTTTTTGTATATATCTATCTATTTTATTAGATGATTACATAAAATAATTAAGTAACATAAACTGAAATATGTTTAATTGACAAAAAATTATAATTAGTATATTTATTTGATTATAATATCTTACCGTTACAACAAAAAATATAAATTATATTTTACTTATATAATATAATTTCTCAAAAACAATCACATTTTTACTACATATTTTAAGAGATATTAAAAACAAAACTAAAAATAAATTTAATGGTAAACATCTTTTGATCAGATAACTACAGTTCTTTTAAAATATCATAACAGTATATAATTTAACGAGGTAGATATATTATATTTTAATAGTTAAAATTATATATTTTTTAATAACTCTTTTGATGTTTAATTTTCTGTTTTTATGTTTGTGGAATTTAATATAACCATAATCAAAATACGTAAGAAAATTATAATTCATTATTTTAAAAAAATTATTTAAAATAAATTTCAGTTTACCATCCAATCAATCTAAGGCATAAATTATTTAAAATTTCTACAATATTTAATTATTGTAAATATTGATATGTTTTCATAAGCTTCTGAAAATTTATTATTACCTATGTATGTAATCTAGAATCAGACACTTTAGTTTTTATTTTTTTCGTTCTAAGCACAAAAAATATTAAAATACATAATCTTACTAAGATATACTTATATTTCTAAGATAACAACCAACATAAATAAATGTAAATAAAACAATTAATCAAAAGTTTAAGATATTTAGAATAAAAAAGATTATAGTTGAATTCAGAGAAATAGATAGAATCCAATATATATATATATATATATATATATATATATATATATATATATATATATATATATATATATATATATATATATCCAAATGATAAACTAACTAAATATAATATATCTAAAATTATATATAACTAAAATAATATAATATTATTAATATAATTATACATAAAAACTATAAATTAATATAAAAGTTAAAGTAAATACCAATCAACTATTATAAATATTTATGCACGTGCATGAGCACGGGAAAATCACCTAGTAACTCAATATTTACCTACACCGAGAAGATGGTAAGAACAATACAATTTTGTTTTAGTTTTTACATCTATTATATTAAAAGAGAAGTCATGACTCACTTCATGTGTGATATTTTAGTTTGGATCATCTTTAGAATTTTAGAAAATTTTACATAACATTATAATATCTTTTCATATCTTTAATTTTTTGTTTGAAATACAAATAAATAGTTTTAAGAAAATTCTAACAAAATCTTTTAGAATCTTTTCCAAGATATAGTTTCAAAAATTATTTGATTAAAATTTTAATTATCATAAAATATAATTAAAATTTTAATTCATTTTTAATTTATAAACAAAAATTGAAATTATGTAAAATACTTTTATCAATATCCCAAAATTTTGTTTATGTATTATGTAGGTCCAACTTAATTAATTTTTACATAGATTTAAAATTTAGAAATAAAACAAAATATATAAATTAGTAATCTTACATAATAATTAAATTATTACAAAAATACAAATTTATAAATTTTATATTAATAATATTATAAGTCACATAAAAATAATTATAAATTGGATAGCATAAATAGTCAAATTATACTTATTTATTGACAAATTTTATTATATAATTTCAAATATTTTCGTATTAAAATACCCGCACGGTTGTGCGGGTCGAAATCTAGTTTGCGATTAAGTTCGTAAGGTTGCTTTCATATAAATTGCTTTTCCTGAAACTTTCCCTTCAATAATTACGTAAGGGTTTCTGACCATACTTCAGAATAGAATTTCTTTTTATCTTTGTTCTCAAGCAAGCTTTCTATCTCCTAATGTAAGCTTGTATTCTCCTTTTGTATTCATTATACCATTAGAGCCTAACTAAAACAGAAGATTATAACTTCTTCTTTTTTTTAAAGTACACAAAGTTCCAAAGCATACTACCATCAATGAATTATTAGCCAATTAAAACCCACTTCTCATATGTAATGTTCCCATATATAGTATCCATATATTCTAGGATACATGAACGAGTACCCACTTTGTGATGTGATATTGACCAATGGCCGACCATCAGAAATGGATGTAGTTTGACACATTGGTCAACATATGTCTCTATACTATCTTTGAAAATTTTAGTGTCTAGTTGTGGTAGTAACTTCATCTCGTTTTGTATCTTCCTTGGAATAACTTTGATGTGACTTAGTAGTTGAAGCTCAAGATCAAGCGGGACCTATCTTTAAATCGTGTACAATTAAAATTGTTGGTCGTAGGGTTCGCACTAGACGGCAGCTCGTTGGAACCATATGTATGCATTTATTTGACTCTCAATCATACATGTGCAATTTAAGTAGGGGCCATTACTATATCAATGAAAAACCAAGATGTTTGATGGCAAAAAATGTATGGCCAATACTTAAAATCGAAACAAGTAAACTAATAAGCTGGCTTTCTTCATGTGGTCCAGAACGATGAGGTGACGAAATGAAAAAAGTTCTTAGCAAAACACTATAAAAAAGGAATAGGATCTTAGCTCCCACCAGAGATTACACATATATACCAAAAATCATGAATGCCACAAGAGCTAAGAATCAAACAAATAATTTAATTGTTGGAGAACACTTTGATATCGAAGTCCCTGACACTGCTCATCAGATTAGCAGCGGTTTGTTATTCGTTTTCTCCTCTTCATTTTCTTGTTTTAAAGAGCTTTACTGAATAATATAACATCAATAGTTCTTAATACTAATAATACCCAAGAAATTAAACTAACCAAGAGATTAAACCTTTTAAAAAGGAAAAAAATATAGAAAAACTATATAACTAAAACTTTGTATTACTCACTGCTTTGATTCCACCTTTTCTAATTGGTTATATAGGAGTTTCCTACAGTAGATGACTCTGACTTTTAAATATGTTGGAGTTGATGACCCTTTTCTTGAATAGAGTTCAAGTTTCTTGATAGTTATCCTCAAGACTGGGAACCTATGCTTTGCCAAACTCTGCTTCTTATAGATTGAGATCACGTTTTGGGAATATTTAAAGCATGTTTTGTTGGATGTACAGATTCATGGTTTCAGGTGGCGTTCGTTCTGACAACGGGTATAAACAACGCTTATGTGTTGGGGTTTTCAGGAACAGTAATGGTTCCTTTAGGTTGGGTTGGTGGCGTGATTGGTCTTATACTTGCTTCTGCAATCTCTCTCTATGCAAATATTCTTGTAGCCAAGCTTCATGAGTTTGGTGGCAAAAGACACATTCGCTATAGAGACCTTGCTGGATTCATTTACGGTAGGAAGGCTTATTGTCTTACATGGGGATTGCAATATGTCAATCTTTTCATGATTAATTGTGGATTCATCATCCTAGCTGGTTCTGCTTTAAAGGTAGTACACATCTTCTCTCTTTATTCTTGATTCTTGATTCCTTGTGAGACAAGTTAGTTATTTTCGGAATGTGTTCTGTTTCTACAGGCTGTTTATGTGCTTTTTAGGGAAGATCATACCATGAAGCTACCTTACTTTATAGCCATTGCCGGTCTGGTATGTGCGGTTTTCGCTATTGGTGTTCCTCATTTATCGGCTCTAGGGGTCTGGCTTGGAGTTTCGACCATCCTCAGTCTCATCTACATCATTGTGGCAATGGTCCTATCAGTTAAAGATGGTATATATATATATATAACATAAATGATGATCGTGCTTCAGCTTCAACAACACATAATCTTATAGTTACGGATAAATCTGCGCTTATTTTTGTTATATTTTAGGAGTGAAAACAACACATTCAAGAGATTACGAGATACAAGGATCATCATTAAGCAAACTCTTTACCATCACAGCTGCGGCAGCAAATCTTGTTTTTGTATTCAACACAGGGATGCTTCCAGAGATTCAGGTTAAGATTGTTTTGAAACTGTTTTTATATCTTAATAAATTGTGTTTATTTGTTAGTGTGTTATATGAAAATGAAGACACATAACTAAGCTTTTCTTATATTATCTGCTTTGATAGGCAACAGTGAAGCAACCTGTTGTGAAAAATATGAAGAAGGCTCTATACTTCCAGTTCACGCTAGGTCTTTTACCAATGTACGCAGTTATGTTCATTGGATATTGGGCTTACGGATCCTCAACCTCAACCTATCTGCTAAACAACGTTAGTGGCCCAGTATGGGTCAAAGCCCTTGCTAACATCTCAGCTTTCCTTCAGACCGTAATTTGTTTGCACGTAAGTTTCTTTGCATGACCTTTTCAACGTATATTCGACTCTGATCGAGTCTAGAGGTGGGCATAATACCTGAAACCCAAACCAAAAACCCTTAATTCGTTTGTGGTTTGTAAGATACCCGAATGGATCTTATAGAGTAGTAGTATATAACACACTTGAATTGTTATTAATCTAATCCGGATGGATCAGAGGCGGTCCTAGAAATTACAGAGCCAGAAGCAAAAATTAAAAAAGTGGCTGTGCTTGAGCAGGGTCGAACCCAGGTTCATCTACTCCAATCCCATGACCTCAAAGTTATACCACAGGACTATAGTACCAATTCGTAAATTGTGGCCGAAATTTTCTAATAAATCTGTCGGTCGGAAGCCCATGCTTCATTAGCTTGGCCCAAGGGCCGGCTCTGGGATGGATAATTCAGAAAACCGAAAAAATCTAAATTAGTATCCAAAATAAACAAATTTCAAATACTCACTTTTACGTTTATTTTGATATGATATTTTAAAATACCCGAACCAAAATAAATTTGACTCTAAAATGGTTATGCCAGAGTTATAATATATGTCAGAATCTTTGTTTACCTAATCCAATCTGTAAATCCTAAAACCTGAACCTGAAAACTTGAAAACCCAAGAGATTCGAACCGAATCCAAACCGAAGGGTACCTGAACATCCACTCAACTGAGTCCGTTACATCTAAGCTAAATTCTTTGTATTGTAGATATTTGCAAGTCCATCATATGAGTATATGGACACAAAGTTTGGGATCAAAGGAGGCACATTTGTGTTAAAGAACTTGATGTTTAGGATCATGGCTCGAGGAGGGTACTTAGCGGTTAGCACGCTTCTCTCGGCGCTTTTGCCGTTCTTAGGGGACTTCATGAGCCTCACTGGTGCAGTGAGCACAATACCTCTTACATTCATTCTAGCCAACCACATGTACTACAAGGCTATGAACAATAAGCTTAATAACATGCAAAAGCTATGGCATTGGGTTAACGTTGTCTTATTCAGTTTGATGTCTGTCGCTGCCACCATTGCAGCTCTCAGGCTCATTGTCGTGGACTCGAAAAATTTCCACGTTTTTGCAGATTTGTAACTCAATTCTTTATATATAGTCATTGTATTCCTTACATAAAAACATTATAGGTAATAAAATTATATATTTCTTAAAAAAGTATAGAGATTACTATACTTTCATGGTTGCATTTTTCATAATAAAACAAGGAATATATTATTAGTCAAATAATAACCAGTGCTCAATCATCTCTTAGTCGAATTTTATGAACTTACTTATTTTCCAAACGAATGAGTTGCTGTTACATATTTAAAAATTAAGAAAAAATAATTAGACTGGCCAAAGTGGAGGAACCCTACTGTCTCCACCAAAGCTCAATGCAATAATCATTAACCTTCCATCTTCTTCTTAACGATCAGATCGACGAAGAGGTAAAGACTTCCTCCTTTGTTAATTCTATGTGGAAAAGTCTCACTGCTCTGCTTTTGATTTCTTATTTAAGGTTATATGGGTGTGTACTTGGTGAGCTTTCAGGACCAAGACCAACATAAAAACGATGCCGTTTACAGGAACTCAGCAGAGTTGATGGAATGTTCTCTGGAACTCAAGACAAATGCGCTACTTGCAATAAAACCGTGTTTCCTATCGAAAAGGTTAAATATAGCATTAAACTCTTTGTTAGATCATTTGGAATAAGGAACTTAGAGATCTCTTTACACCTTCCATTCTTGTATCTTCTCGTTCTGTTTTAACTACAGGTGACAGTAGAGAGCCAATGTTAACATAAGTCTTGCTTCAAATGTTCACATGGAGGCCGTGCGATTTCTCCATCGAACTACGCAGCGCTTGAGGGGAATTTGTACTACAAACACCATTTCGCTCAGCCTTTTAAGGAGAAAGGAAGTTATTACAATCCCTGCTGCTGTAGAAGCTGTACCTGAATCTTAAAATTCGGATTCTCTAACCAATTTTCAAGTTTTAAAAGTTTACTACCAAACTGGTTTCATTTGTCTTTGCGTATGTGTTACTTGTATTCATTCACTTATGTTCTTGTCTTTTCCACAATGAACCAGATTCTCTTGATTTTGTTCTTGTTGTGAGTACTACTTAGCTTGGTCTGGTCTTGGTTGATTCTCTTTTGACCGACCGGCTAATTGGACCGGAAAAATAGTTGTCTTTCATGTCCGGTCCGGTTCTTCTATATAAGAGCATCTCCAATATAATACTCCATTGTTTCCTCCAAAATGGAGTAAAAGTGAATATAGAGTAGAAATGCTCTATCCCTACTTCATATCCCACTCCATAATGGAGTAATGAACAAATAAAAAATAAATTACTCCATTTATGGAGTAAACTCTATTATAGAGTGGAAAATAGAGTTGGGTTGGAGTGTCTTTTACTCCATACTAGTTGTATATTCCCCGCGCAAGCGCGGGGCCGTGATCATTATGTTTACGTGTATTTTTTTTATTATTGTTTTAGTGGATTCTTCTAATGCTACCAAATAATAATGAAATAGAAAGAATGTAGTAAGAATGTAAAGTGAAAATATTGTATATCTAATGTTAAATGTTATTTATATGCGAAGTAAGATTTATATGAATAGTTATGCTATAATATAATTTTTAGTGTGTAAAAGTAGGTGTCTATTTTTATTTTTATTTTGCTGTAAACAGTTTTTATATCGTATCTCAAATCTTGATATAATTCTATATTTATAGTATTTATATTTGTATTAAACGATTTATTAATTTGAAAATAACCTTAATTAAGTTAATATTCGTTGTTTAAGTTTCATTAGATAGGCTTTTCTATATGGTTTTTTGTAAGTTTGGGTTTTGTTCATAAATGATTTGGAATTTTTATCTACGGCATCATTGACTGTGGAAATCCATTCACTGAAGTCTAGAGTCGGTGGTGAGGAATGTTTTCAATGAAATTATAATAGTTATTAAAATGTAAGAGAAATTACATATTCATTTAATAAATAACAAAAAATACTTAAATTTTTTTTTGTTTATTTTATTTTATTTCACATACAAATTTTTTGAAAATATATTAGGAATGTGTTAAATGTTATTTATATGCGAAGCAAGGTTTATAGGAATAGTTAGGCTATAATATAGTTTTTAGTGTGTAAAAGTAGGTGTTTTTGCTATAAATAGTTTTCATATCATAGGTCAAAACTTGATATAACTCTATATTTATAGTAATTATATTTGTATTAAACGATTTATCAATTTAAAAATTTCCTTAATTAAGTTAATATTCATTGTTTAAGTTTCATTAGATAGGTTTTTATATATGGTTTTTTGTAAGTTTGAGTTTTGTTCATAAATGATGTGGCATTTTTATCTACAGCGTCATCGACTGTGGGAATCTATTCGCCAGAGTCTGGAATCGGTGGTGAGGAATATTTTCAATGAAATTGTAGTAGTTATTAAAATGTAAGAGAAATTACATATTCATTTAATAAATAAAGAAAATAATTAATTTTTGTTGTTTTTTTATTTTATCTCACATACAAAGTTTTTGAAAATATATATTAGGAAATATGTGCAATGATTTAATTTTGAGCTCTTAATCTATAATATTCAAGCCTCATTAAGCCATCCACGTAGCCAGCCGTGTGAGATTCACTTTTTTTGTTTTTTAGTCTGTTCGTGTTTGGATTTATTTTTTATTATTGTTGGGTTGAGCTATATTATAATAGGATAGTTTTAAGGCTCTTTAAGCCATCTGCGTAGGCAACCGCGTGAGACTTGTTTTTTTTTTGTTTTTTTTATTGTTCATTTTTGGATCTATTTTTAATTATTTTTGGGTTTGAACTTGTTAAGTTCTAGGGATTATCCAACTATTTTGATCTTTAAAACAATAAGCCCAAAAAAAATTATAAAAACCTTATAAACAAAAAGTCCATATGATAATAATTCAAATAAAAAAAAAACAAAATTACATGATAGCTGCGTGGTTTGAACCCACGATCTTGCATACTTTACTAAACGCCTTATACCACTTAGCTAAAGTGTATTTTATTGTTTGTAATCACCTTACCGAAACTATGGGTGTTTAAAAAATACCTACAGGACCCACAAAACTGCTGACGTGGCGCGTTGTGGAGCCTTGAAAGTCTACTATTATAATATAGATTCTCTTTTACTTGGAGATGCCCTAAGAACTTAAAAAATCGGATTGTTTCCGAAACATTCATTCCAGTAAAACCCATTGAAATCGATCTATAGAAACACGAAAAAACACAGATCAAGTCGTACTTTAAAAGGCTAAAGATACGAACTTTGCAAACTTTTCGAGCCTAAATGTCAAACTCAACCTCTGACCTCCATAGCCGTCTTCTCCGGTGAGTAACCTCTCTCTCTCTCTTGTACTCTGTTTTTCTCCTTCTTTAGTGGAAGAACGAAACCCTAATTTGCTAACTCTGTTTTTTATTGAGGATTCAGAGTATCTGAACCAATAGCAGAGATTCTCAGACGCACTCATTACACACCGCAAGAGAGCAGCAAAGTATCCACCAAAGACATACTCTTGTCTCTGTTACCAAACACTTCTCCTCCTCCTCGCTTACTCAACGAAGAACAGAGTCTCGCTTCCATCAAAAGTCTCTCCCTTGCTTGTGCCCTTCTCTCTTCTTCTCGTTCCTCCACTCACGAACTCCTCTCATGGATCCCCGAAAGCCTCATTGTCGCAGGAGAGTCAGCATTCTCCGAGATTTCTCGAGATTACTTCAGTGAGAACAAGAGGCTGTTGGTGATTGAGTTGTTGCCGGTTGTTTTGCCGGAGTTGAAAGATGGAATCGAAGGGAGCTCAATGAGTAAGGACAGTGATGCAGAGGATGTTTCAGCTGCTATGGCTAGAAAGCCAGTTGGTTATGCTATCTTGGCTGCTCATCAGCTCAGGTGGTTTGTGACTCAGGTCTGAGTTATATTATAAGAAAAAAGATCTAACCTTTAATGTTCTGTAATGATTTGGAGGTGTTTGATGTCTAGTGTTTTGAGTCTTTTGATAGGTGGATAAACCGAGTTTGTCGAAAGTTTGTAACTTGGTGGTTCCATGTGCTTTAACAGCACTTGATCATTGGTCTCCTGATGTCAAAGTAAGTCCTTTGAACATGGGTTTAGTTGGTTCTTGTCTTAAACCTTTGGGAACTTTTAATAGCTTTCTATCTAGTGTTAGGTTAAGGCTAGAGTGAGATTGATGTTCTTCTATTTGCTTGATGACAGAGACAGGGTATGATAAGCTTTGTGCACATTGCAAAAGCTATGAGTTCAGGTGATCTCGGTCCGTATGGAGATGTGGTTCTTGATGCGTGTTGCCAGAACATAGCTTCCGATGACGAGATTTGGATACATGTGGTGGAGTTATCTGTGCTTCTCGTGACTAAACTGCATCCATTTAATCCCCGTAGCTCATGGTTAATCTTTCTCTTTCTCTCTTATCAATAACATAGGTTCATAAGATCCATCTTTTTCATGGCGTGCTTATCTTCTTTGTAGGTATGAGAGGATCATGAATGAGATGCTTGGACATCTAGAACGCCAACCAAGAAACAAGGAGAGACGTGTAGCTTGGTTAACATTCGTTGAGCCACTCTTGAACTCTTTAGGGCTTTTCTTGCTTGCTCATTTTAGACGCATCTTCCCTCTTTTCTTCCAGTGGATGCATTCGGATGATGGCGAAACCGTTTTGTTGGTATTTTCTTGTTTCACATTTCTTATGAATGTTACGTTTGACAGTTTGACTACCTGCAAATGCTATCATATAGGTTCTTGAGAGAGTGGAGACGATTGTGAAGTTGACATGGATTAGAAACTCGCCTCAGATTCCAAGGTTTAACCCTCACTAAACACTATAAATTAGCAGTAACTTATAGAATCCACTCTTCAACATCAATCATGTCATTATTTTTGGACCTTCAGATTGGTGGAGGAGCTTGTTTCCTTGTACAAAGAGTCATCTATGCGGAAGGAGCGTGATGAGATTAGAACTCTTATCTTCCGTATCTTGAAGCTACTCCACGAGTAAGCTTTCTAATAGCTTATCAAATTCACTGCCAAAGATAATGCAAACATGTCTTATTTTTGCTTTTGTCTCTCGCAGGTGCAAAGGATTACAGTTTGAGTCAGCATGGAGACAGTACCAGGAGGATCCAAATCTGAGCACGGTTGAGGAATATATACGTGGACTATCTCTGTCTGAACCGAGAGAGCCTCTCGTTGCCTCTGAGGTTGTTTAGGGCCATTAATTAGAGAAATCACAAAACATAAAAGGGAATCTTCTGAAGAGACTAGTTTCTCTCTTCTTATTTCAATCTCTCAAAAAGTCTTATGTAATCTCTCAAAACTACAGACAATGCAACAACAAGGAAAAAAAAAAAATAGAATTCATTCGACAGTTCATGGAAACCTCAAAAACCAAATCTTTATATACAAACCTGTTTTGTTTCATCATCATCATCATGCTTCCTCCCTCAGGACTCTAACAGTTGGTGGACAATCTGTTCTCTCGCCAGCAAGAGAGTAGTAAGCTAGTATATGAGCCGGATGCTCCATCTCTCTTACCTCTCCAAGCTGATTCACTTCCGGGACTTTTCTTGCCGGAATCAGCTCTATGTTCCAGTACGGTCGAGACATTAGTCTCAGGTCTTGTCCCGTCCTCGATGCTCTGTAGCCTTGCACCCACAGGTATCTAAGGGAAGGGAGTTTCAGTACAGCTGCAGCGATTGCTCTCTCGCTGAAGCAACAACCTCTCATCTCCAGCTTCTGTAGTTTCGGACAACCTCTTGAGAACTCCATTAGGCCTTCGTCTGATTCACCAACGTAACCGAGAAGCATCCACCTCACGTTTGGACTGTACCGTCCGATGTAGCTTAACCCCACGTCGGTTAAGCCGCCTTGTCTGAGATAGAATGCAAACCGCCTGAGTTTCTTGCATCCGATCAAAAGGGATCTGACTCCGTTGTCCAGTGGCAGGTCTGTTATTCTCTCTTCTTGGTCGAGTAAGACGAGGCGGAAGTCACAGAGGTTTTTCAGATATGTGCCTATGCTTTCCAGAGACTCGTTGGTTATATCTGAGACATACACCGCCATGTACTCTAGCTCCTGGCAGCCCTGAGCCAAAGCGACTAATCCTCTTTGGGAGACTAAGCCTTCTTCATCCTCCATTCCTAGTTCATCTTCACCCCGTTCAATCCTCAGCCGCTTCAACTTCTTACAGCACTGTCCCAGAACCTCTAGACCCCTATCTCCGATTACATTCCTTGTCTGAAATATAGCAAGGATTGTCAGTCATATATATAAGGAACGAGAAGGGGAATGTTATCTACCACATTGTATACACTTGCAAAATCAATGCTAGATGATAATTGAATACTTGAATAGTGTAAAGAACAGATAAATTTACCTATAATCGAATACTTGAATTGATGTGTAAAGTAACAGATATTGAATTCAAATTTACCTCGAGAACTTCCAAATTAGGACACTTTTGAATTAGTGTACAATGGTCCTCAGTTGCGAGCAATGCATAGATAAGATCCAGCTTCCGGATTTGGGCAGCGAATGGAAACAGTATTGGCATTTCATTAGGTCCCATGTAAGAGAGACCCAGACAACATAGTTTCCTAGGGAATGTCAGATTCATATACTTCTCCGGTCTTCCGATCTCTTCATTTATGGAGCCACCACAAAATTCTTCAAGATTAGTTGCAGCTTTGAAGAAGCCGACTAGTTCCAACATCTCAAAGTCACCCATCTTCACAGACATCAAAGAGCGGCAATTTCTAGCTATGCTTTCCAAGTCTTTGGCATTGATTTTTGTAAACTCAGTCATGTAGAAATTTAGAACCTCAAGAGATGTGTTGTGTAGAGCAAGCTCTTGAAGCCATTTACAATCCTTTTCAACGAAGGAACTTTCTTCCATTAGCAATGTTTTTATTTTCCTGTCGAGAAAACAGACAGAAGCATGAATAAAGTGAGAAACAACTCAAGATAATTGGATTTTCAGCTAAGCAAAAACCAAATCAAGGATGCAAGAAGGCCATTATAAACATGAACTCCCGAAGACATTCTTTCTGCAGCTGGCTAATATCAATCTTTGTGCTAACTATCCATAAACATAAGTGGAGGAAACCAAATAAAGCCCGCATCAAGGTTTCTACTTCCCAAATTGATAATTTGGCATAGCAACGGCAGAGTAATTATGGATGCAAGAAGTACACGATAAACATGAATTCAAGATAATTGTATTTTCAACTGCATATGCATAAACATGAACATGAACTCATGAACTCCCAAAGACATTCTTTTTTTTCAGATGGCAGATATCAATCTTGTTGCTAGTTATCCATACAAAGAAATGCATTAAACCCAATAAATCCCACACTAAGGTTTCGACTTCCCCAAATAATAATTTAATTAGGTTGCAGGCACAGAGCCAGTAAGGATGCAATAAGGAAACAACAAACATGAACTCCTGGAAACTACAAATATTATGTATAATATATGCATAACCACAAGTATAAAGTGCAGTAAGAAATCAAAAGGTCTGGGTTCAACAAACATATCACCAAAGTTTCTACTTAACCTAATTGAGCTAAAGACACATGAGACATTCTCTTTTGCAGATGGCGATATCAAGCTTGTAGCTAACTATCAAAAAACAGAAATTCAGGAAACCAAATAATATCCCCACCAAAGTTTCTACTGCCCAATTGATAATTTTCTTAGGTTGCAGCCTTGCAGACACAGAGCCATTAAAGATGCAAGAACACACGATAAACATGAACTCCTTAAAACTACAAATATCAAAGATGAATACTTTTACTATCTACCCATAACCACAAGCTGTGTAAAGTGTAGTAAGAAATCAAATAAAGCAAGGTTCAACAAATACATCACCAAAGTCTCAACCTACCCAATCGTGTGCTAAAAGACACAAGAGATCTTCAAAGAAACATTTTTTACGACGCAATCTTGTTCTAGTCAAAGTATGCAATGAGAACTATCCTTACAAAGCTACACAAAAGAAGCAATCAATCAGTAGCCAACTAACCTGCAATGCTTAACAATACTGAAAATCCCATCAGTAGAAAACCCCGAGCACTTATCAAGCTTCAAAGCCTCAAGCTCATCCCCTCTGGCCTTAGCCAAAACATCCAAATCCAAATCACTCACAATCATCCTCCTAAAATGCACAGATCTAAGCCTCCTCAGCGAAACAGCGATCTCCTCGACCCAGGGGGTCACAAACCCTCCCCAGTTCTCGGGGATGAGATTGAACATCGCAGCTCTCGGCTTCCCTTTGAGCTTCAGCGACCTCAGATTCGGGAACCTCCGGCTGAGCCGATCCGGAGTCGAGGTGTAGCACAGCGCCATCGTCACGTGCTCCCGAGTCTCCGAGTCGATCTCGTACCATCTGCGGCACACGAGGGAGGCCGAGTCTCGGTCTTTCGGGTCGGTTATGTACGGCATGACTTGCGCGATGACGTCATCTACGGTTATGGTGGTTAGTCTGCACTTTTTGATGTCTGGCTCCTCTTCCATCGTCATCGAATTAACGGAATAACACAATCGATTTTCAATTCGAATCGAAATCGAATTAACGAATCTCAACAAAAAAAAAAAATCGAATAAAATTGGATTTCAAATTCGAAACCCTAACGGATCCATACTAGTTCAGAAGAGAGTGAAAATTAAGAAGTGGAGATCCGATTAGTGTGTGTGTTGGAGGAGGAAGCGGGAGAGTGGACGAGGAGGAAGATAGGTGGAGAGGAGTGAGGAGAGGAGGACACGCGGAGGAGGAAGAAGAGGCAAAGTGTGTGTGTGTTTGTGTGAAGGAATCAAAAGTGGTTAATTAATGATATTTTGGGATCAAGTGGGCAGATAGAATAATTATTTTTTTATTTATATATTGATATGGACGGTGGAGATGAAGCGATCGGGTTGAAATGGTTAGTCAACCTTTTTAGCGTAAGTAGGAGATGTCGCTAGACGACAGGAATAGCCAGATGTGGTTTTTATCCAATCGACGATTATGTGATGGGGTTTATTATTATTAATTTGAATTCTGAGCTTAATCAATGTGTTGGTTAACTAATCTTATACAGGTAGTATCCTAGGTGAAGTATGGCGTTTACCTGATATGATATTTTACTTAAACAAATTGTAAGTTAGATCTATTTATCTTGTCGATGGAGATGAAATAGCTGAAATTTTTTTAAAAAAAAACTTATCCAAAGTACTTCTGTGATAAAACTAGAAAATAATCAGATATGGAACAGATTACAAAAAAATAATATTTACTTTAGATAAATTGAGTAAGATTTATTTTGGGATATATATTTTGGATGATTGTAAAATAAAATATTTGAGATCTTTTTTTTGGGATATATATTTGGAAATTTGGGCTAATAACAATTAGTTTTGGAAAAAAAAACTCTATACCCATAGTAAGCCCATGGATATGGTATGATACATAATATTGCATATAATGACTATTATGTCCCTTTCATGCGCGTGTACATCTTCCTCTCTCTCATTCCGTAACCCTAAAAATCATTACTCAGTTTTCCATTTACAAAATTACAATTACCGACGGTTGAGCTTTCAGACATCTGCGACAAGTCTTACCGCCGAGACACCACATCAGAGACGACGATGGCGAAGAGTTGGTTTGTCTAACTGATTGAGACGGAGTGGGATTACGAATCGTCAGAGGCGAAGTCACAAACATCAAAATCAGAAAGGTAATCTCTGTAATTACCTTTACTAAGTTGTCGATTTTACTCCCTCCGAGAGAAATCTGGCGTTTGTGTTAGACCATTTTCTCGGTACTGAGTAAAATTTTTCTTTCCCCCAAAACCCAATTGCCTGTACTCTGATATACCTTATTATGCCAAAAGTGAGATTATTGTTGGTTATGACTTGTGTTGTTGGTTGAATATTAGTTTACGGTGTTGCCGGAATGTATTTCAAAACTGAGTTTCTGATTTGTGGTTCTCGGACCAACTTATGTGTTGAGGATAATGATGTGTCTATAAATGTGTTTGTAGTATAGAATGTCCGACTTATGGGTTAGTATAGGAGTAGACTTTGGTTATTACATTTATTCAATAATCATGATACAAGTATAGGATTACACTATGTGTTAACAGTTTAGTCTGTTAGACCATGGTGGTAGTAGATTACTCTTGCTTTCTTGCGTTAACATGTACATATGTACATATATTACTAACCTCAAGAATCTAAACTATTGTAACCGTAGTATAGTATATATGTGTCGCCTATATATTTTTGTATAGATCGTAATATGTTTGGTAACATGTATATCTGTGTATAGAGTAGGTGTCCTATACTATTGGACAACGTAAATAGTATGGAAACAATTTGAAACCATGTATAGTAGCGGTACTATGTTCATCAAATGTGGACTACACTATATGAAAATGTTTATAGTATAGCTACATTAAGATGCCAAAAAGGTAAGTACTGTTGTTTGAGTTTTGGATTAGTATAGGAGGAGACTTTGGTTATTACATTTTCTCGAGAATCATGATACAAGTATAGGACTAGACTATGTGTTAACAGTTTTAACTGTTTGACCATTGTCGTAGTAGCTTACTCTTCGTTTCTTGTGTTAACATCTACATATGTGCATAGATTTCTAACCTCAAAAATCTAAACTATTGTAACCGTAGTATAGTATATATGTGTTGCCTATATATATATTTGTGTATGGATCGTAATATGTTTGCTAACATGTATATCTGTGTATAGAGTAGGTGGCCTATACTATTGGACAACGTATATAGTATGGATACTATTTGAAATCATGTATAGTAGCGGTACTATGTGGAAAAATATGGACTATACTATATGAAAATGTTTATAGTATAGCTACATTAACATGCCAAAAAGGTAAGTATTGTTGTTTGAGTATATGTGTATAGTGTAGGCGGCCTATCTTATTGGAGAACGTTTATAGTAGAGATAAAATTTGACATCGATATATTCCATTATTGGGCTATACTATTTGAAATAGTATATAGTATAGGTTTATTGCCTTGACAGTTTGATGTAGATAACAGTGGTGTCTACAAGGTTGTTGTCCTGTTACTTGTTTTTTCCTTTCCTTGTATATTATACGGTTTATAATGTTCTACTTTTCCTTGTAGATTATGGAGGAGTTTGGCTTACCGCAGTGCTTGTTTGAGACGGGGTTCGAACCAACTGGTCAGAAGAGAATAAACAACTACTTCAATTTGAGATGGGTGGAGGTGATTAAAGAGTCTTTGTCTGATGCGTGGCAGGAAAAGCTTGCAGAGTCTCAGTTCAAGCAAATTATGTTAATGAGGAGCCATACATTTTCAGTCATGTTTTGCCATCAGATATTGTCCCGTCAGCTGGTGATCTACTGATATTTTCTACTTTCAACCATGATTTATACTATTACATGTATAGTATAGTACAATTTATACGATAACGCTTATTGACATCGGTTCTTCTTTACTTCATACATGTTCAAGTTGTTTCCCATTTTGTATTGCCGTTGTTATTTACATACAATCCCCTGCTCATTCCAATTACCGACATGCGTCAATAACTTCTTCTGATAATACAAATTGTGTTATGTCATGTAACCTTTAGTCAGGAAGTCCTTTTGTATGATATTTTAATTTGTTTCGCTTTACTATACTATTCCCCCCCCCCCAAAATAGTTTAGTCCTCTATTCCTGAGTATGGTGAACATTGGGTCAGGTTAACATACTATAGTGTCCTTATGATTATGCACAATGTTATTCACTGTCTACTATAGTTTGCTATAATCAACTCCCTCCGTATTTAATATCTCCTCTTATCTGAACCTTATTTTGTCATATATTGTATGTTGGGCATTAATTAATATATTATCTCTCTATAGTATAGTCAACTGACCACTTTCTATATATGCTTCTCAGTCCCATTTACACTTACAATAACTCCATTTTGTATGTCCCATTTACAGTGACACGAACTCCATTTTTTCAGATATTATCTTATGTTGCCAACCATGGTGTAGACTATCGTCAGTAAAAGTATAGTATACTTTGTTACATAGCTTCTTCTTTGTGGTAACACAGTTGTTATGGTTTTCATGGTTCAGTTCTCTCCACTTGCCTCATAATCACTCGTACGCGAGTGAAAGGCTAATATCGTCATGATTCGTGTGAAAATGTCAAATCAAAATGCTATGGCTATATTCTTAATAAATGATTCCCTTATGAATATTAGGCAAATTGCCCCTATATATTTTGGATGACTGTAAAATAAAATATTTGAGATTTTTTTGTAGATATTGTTTAAAAATATTTTTTTTATTCTAAATTTTAAAAGTTTCAAACTAGTAATTCAGTGTTATATATATATGAGAAATTCTCTTAGATATGATTTTTTTAGTTTATTTTCACAAAAATAATCATCAAAGAGTAAAATGACGTAAATATGCACTTTTACACTTGAGTTATAAATTTAGACTTAAAATTTAGAGTTAAGTGTGAGATTTTAGGTTTAGAGTTTCAAATTTAAAAATAAAAAAATAAAAAAAATATTACAAATTTTAAAATAAAAAAATACTATTTTGGTCATTTGATTTTGTAGAATTATTTTTGTGATAAAAGCATTAAAAACTATCTGAGAGAATTGCCCTACTTATATAGATATTATTTTCATCCATTTAAATAATGTAAATTGTTCTCAACAAAATAACTATATGAGAATATTTGGAACATATATAGGTCAACAGGAGAAATATGTCCCAAAATAGACATGCCTACAATAGCTATATGAATTATTGAACAAACCCAACCCCACCTCCACACAAAAAAACTATATTTGAAATATAGGCTATTGCATGATGTGATTGATATACACGATTATGATGCAGAAGTCAATAGCTGATATCATGAAAATGACAATGCAACTGTCTTAAAAGTAACTTTTATAAACCTTCCTAATACTAACCCTAGTGGATAAAACGCTAGAGCTGAAGTTAGAAGCTAGAACTAGAGAACGTGTTACAACTTCAAAGATTGCTATTATATAATATACACGATTTTGGATTAACTTTCAATTACAAGGTACAAGTACAATGAAGATGTTTTTGTAAGAAACAAACTCTTTATTATTTCCAATTTTCTTTGTACAAGATTAATGTGAGAAACAGCACTGGCACTATCTATTTATTACACGACTGTTTTGTCTCCATTGTGGTAGACGTTCACATGTGCAATACTTACATATCTTCAACGTATACTTTTAAAAATATATTCATCTGCATATGTACCTCTTCAACATATGTGTACCCGAGAGAAATATATCGTCTATCACTTATAGCTTTCCTTTAAGATTCGAACATAACAAAGAACTATATGCAAGCTACCAAAACAAAACGGACTAATTACACCAGAAAACAGAATAGCTTGGCTGAACAAAAAAACAAGAACTAAACGAGAGATGAGATTTAACAAGCTCTCTTTCTATACACTTTCACTTACAACGAACCAAAAAAAAAAAACTAACCAGAAGTCTCTCTGGGAGGCACAGGTAGTACAGCTTCGCCTGAGCTCACAATCTCGCCACCGCCATCTCCTCCTTCACCTCCACTCGGCTGTTGCATTCTTATGGGTGCAAACAAGCTCACACTACTCACCTCTCGGGTCCCACTGTACAGACCTCTGCTTCCGTGATGGTTCAAAGGAGTAGAGGTTGTTGCATTGGCTCCACTTATGAGCAAACGCAGTGTCTCTCTAGCTCTTTTCTCCACCAACGAGTCTTTCTTCTCCACAGGGAGTGGAGGGATGCCTGTAGGTATCATCCTCGTAGGTCCAGCGCTTACCAGATAAGCTTGACCTGATGAGCATATATCCATAACCGGAATATGAACGATAGGGTCGCACATTATAGGAAGCATCATCTGCTGGGAGGATGATGAAGATGCGTGGACTAACGGTAACTGAGGGATGTCAGAGAGATCCAGGGGGGATGACGGAATCAAGAACCCATCTGATCCTGATGATGGTAACAAGGAGGAAAGTGGTGGAAGTAAAGGTAGCTCGATGGGTAGTGGAGGGAACTGATAAGAAGCAGATGAGGTGCTTGGAGGGCACCAGCAGTAATATGGAGAGAGGACTGGTGGACCCATCTTCAAAGGAAACTGGGGCGGCAAGGTCATTGTGCTTGGTGCTAACTCTGCAGCTTCAGAAGCGATAAATGGAGGTGATTCGCCTTCTCCTTCTGACTGGATAAAACCCTCCACATTGGTGGTGGTGGGTAAATTATCAAAGATTGAGAAATAGGCTTCACTATGTAGATTTGAAGAGTTTCTCAGTGTGTTTTCTTCAAAGGAGCTTGATCTATGGCTGAGGCTTCCTTGAGACTTTGACAGTTGAGTCTCCAAATGACGTGCTTGACGAGATTTTGATGATGCATTCGAGGAGGTGGAAGCAGTTGTTTCAGCAGAGCCAGAGGAAAACGATGAATCAGGAGTTGGGACCAGACGACCTTTGATGTTAGGCACCACTGAACCCGTGAGGTACAAACGGAGATGAGAAGCAACAGAGCCAAGACGCGATGCTTCAATTCCAGTTAGTTCAGAGATAGAAGGCTTCTTCTTGATCAGGTCTTTCATCTACACAGAAGAATCAGGGAGAAAAAAAAAAATGGTGAGAAAGTATAGAGAAAAGAAAAGTATTCGCAAATACAAGATAATCTCCATCTCACTAACCTTCCTACACAACTCAGCTCCCAGAAGTTTTGACTTCTCTGAGCACCAGTAGTAAAAAGCATTGCCATCTTCGATCCTTATAAGAAAAGATCTACCAGAGCTGTCTGCATTTATCTCCTCAATTGACACCGCAGAGCACTGAGATTTGCTGTTGTAGGTAAAGAGTTGTTCTGAGTGGCCATTGTCTCCGATAAAAGAAAGTCGCAAGTCCGATGTTGGCAAGATCATAAGGCTCAGTGTACCCCTGACCAATGAGAGGTAAGGTATATTAGAAAACTAAGCCTGTGCTTTACCCTAACTGAAACTACATTGTTCATAATTCAGCAAAGGGACCTCAATCACCAAGAAGAGTTTTCTTTCACAGTCCAACTCATAAACACTTGATAAAAAGATGAGAAAATGATTATCTAAGAGCTTCCCTAACGTAACTTTACATAAATCCAATATCATATTTTGATCAAAATGGCACCACAAGTACACACACAAGACCTCTATAAATCAGATAAGTAGTAACAAGAAGAAAAACAAATAATTGAAATCACACAAAAAATCTAAGTAAAAAAAAGATATATTTGAAATAATATAAAATGGTGATGAAGGATATAGTCAGTGGCGTTATGACGGACAGAGAGAACAATTATGTCCTAAATGACTAGAAATCAAGAACAGCCTACGCAACATCAGAGACGAAACTACCTTTTTACTTCATCATCTACAAGAAGAACATAACAGATTACGCCCAAATCAACTACAATAAAAAAGATAGCATTTTATTTGGAAGCATGTACAGAATCCCCACACGACTAGTCGAGTCCCTATGATGTATAATGACTTTTACGTAAACCAAACAAGTAAATCATGAATCATCCTGAGTTCCTGACTGATTACTGAAAGTTATATATAAATTGATACAAACAGAACTGACCAAATGGATCAAGACGGAGTGTGTTAGTTTTTTCCACTTCTTCATGATAAATTTTTTTAAACTGTGTAATACACCACCAACCTCCAAAGGTGTTAGCACGTGTTAAAACTGCAAAAGGTCAGTAGGACAGAGATCTAATAGGCATAGATAAAAAAACGTGACTGAATCATGAAAGCAAACACAGAGAAACTCAACTCTGGGAGGGAGTGCTTATAAAAGAAACCTTCATAATAAACATGACAGTAACGCATGCAATGTGTGTGTATGTGTGTGCACTATCTTCAACTTATATACTGAATCATAAGATAGTTTCAAACTCACTACTGAATAAACGATTTACATAGGAACATCCTTTTATAAAATGAAGATAATGCAACATAAAGCATTAATCAACATTCTCCATTTTCGTTATACTAGAGCTCTAACTTCAAAGCCTAACTACAGAGAATCTAGAATCTAAGACATCGTATCCCAAAGCTCAAACAATGCCAGAAAAGAAAGACAAGTCTCATGAAACATCGTTGACTACCTTATGTTAGTTGGTCGCATTAAAGTCTCTTCCTTGGTGATCTTCCCAACACGCACTCTAACCAAAGGTATACAAAAACATCTCGCCAACATCCCAATCTCACCCGGCTCAAAGTGCTATTCCAAAAAAAAAATAGCAACAAATCAGATTATCATCAAACCCAAAACCAATTGGATATATGAATCAATTTTAAACCTGAGTAAGATGAGCGAGGAATCGATCTTCAGCCAATCCGTTAGATACGTTCATCTTCAACAACGGCTTCAATCTCTCGTCGCCTCTACAAGCTCCAAGGACTTGCATATCCAAAGCCTGTAACCACCTCAAAACCATATCCTCCCCAAGCACTAAGTCATCAATAGGATCCGAAACACTATTACTACTTTCGATCCTCCTCGTCTCGGATGCAGCGGCATCGATGGTGGAAGACGAATTGGATACATCCTCGTTTTCATGGTGATCGTCTCTGGCATCTCCCTTCCTAGAATCGGTCATATTCAAAAGAATCGGGTGGGTAAACTTATCTATACAGAGAAACAAATTATAACTCGATCCACAAAATTTGTTAACAAAAAAAAATCCTACAGATCGATTAGTGCTTCGAAGAATCAATCCACAGAATATGAATGCAAATAGAGGCAAAAGTGTTGCTTATCGATTTTTTTAGAGAGAGAAATGATTTCTTGAATATGTTCTAGAGAGAGGAGGGAAGAAGAAAATAGAGATAATTTGATCACATATTCTTTTTGGACATTTAATTAGGGAAATACATATGATGTGATTGAATTAAATATAGTGACTAAAATGTCTCTCGCCTCTCTCTTATTTTACTTTCATCATTTTCTCTTTCCTGACACTCTCTTCCTAACACTCTCTTTCTTTCATTCGATTTTACTTCTTCTCCATTCTCAAACTCTCTTATCATTTTTTTCTTTGTCATTTTTTCTTCTAAATATTTTTTTCCCTCATTCAAATATATATATATATATATATATATATATATAATATTTATTTATTTCCTATGTGGTTTTAAAGAATAACTTTTATTTTTTATTTTTACTCACTGTGATAGAAAAATTAAAAATTCAACATTATCTATTTATTAACAGAGACATTAATTGTTAACAAATTTTGTAGACGTTAACATATGTGTTAACTGTTAACAAATACATGTATCAGATGTGTTAACAGAGACATTAACTGTTAACAAATTTATTAACAGCTAACACCTCTGGTACATGTATTTGTTAACAGCTAACACATCTAATAACATTTATATTATTTGTTACATATAACACATTTGTTAACAATCAGTGATTTTAAAGATATTGCAATGATGATTTTCTCAATATGTAGTGTAATTAAACAAATCAATACTTTGTTTCGTGTGTTAATTAGTTTTTAACGAATAAAAATTATTTTTTCGTGTGTCAATTAGTTTTTAATGAATAAAAAAAATTGGATGAAAAAATATGGAAGAATAAAATATTATACATTAATAAGAAATGGAAAGAGACTGTAAGAGAGAAGAAGAAAGAGAGAGTCACAATAATTAAAGAATGACAGAGGAGTTGAGAAGCAAGAAGGACTTTATCGTCCAACCAAACCATAATTATATGAAATTTTGTTTTTATGTCCCATCATGGACATTTCTCTAATTTGACTCTCTTTTATGGGTATTTGCCTAAATCTCTCAAGAAAATATCTTAGCCAAAGAACGAAACCCAACACAGCCTTCTGTGTTATATTAAACGCTCTGTCTTAAATAAATGATTTAACTAAAGAGTTTTCTTAAATAAACGTGGTTATTACAATTGATTGCATTGCATATACAAATTTTTACCCATAAGCACGATGGGTTAGGTTCAATCCAATTAGGGATGTGCCCCATCAGGGAGATGGGCCTGTGTCTTTTAGAAAGAAAAAAAGTTCTGAATCTTCTTACTAAAAATAAATTTCCTTTCCTTGACCACCACAGATTATATTATGTAGAACTGTAAAATACACTACAAAGAAATATTTGGTCGGGATATAATATGTATCACAACATTAGGACATAAAAAGGAGGAAACAACTTGTGTTATGAACTTGAGATGTGAGCCATTGGCTTATTTGAAGATGATATAGCCTTTCTGTGTAATGGTGATTATAAAATCTCAAATTATTTTGATATTTTCTTTAAAAAACTCGAATATTCTTAATGCCATCTCTAAACAAAAGTTTCAATCGATTTTTAAATTATCTAAACCGAAACATTTAGAGTTTTTAAGAAAACATTTTCTCCAATATATCATCAATCATTTCTTCTTTTTTGGTTCTTCTTTGGCATAGTCCTTGATTAATGCTTCCACGTCTTTCCAAAACAAACCCTCAACAAGAACTCCATCTTTTGTGAACCTGAATAAGTACACACACACAAAAAACATATAACTTAGCTCAAGTATATGATGAGATGATAGAGCATGTAAGAAGAAGTGCAGAGAGCAAGAGAGACCATTGGGTGACGCTTTTGGTGAGCTGGACTGACTTCCCAGCTGAAATTGATTTTGGATCAGCACTGTCGATTGTGAGAGTGTACTCATCTGAGAACCTGGGCATCTTTGAAGATACAACCAAGCCAGTGCTGGTGAATGATCCCTGTGTATTAACCAACTCATTTTGAGATCTCGAATAAATTGGCAAATGATGAACTGAACTAAACTTAACAAAAAACGTAGCAATATAAATGACAATGTGCATGCATAGTAACCAGAGAACGTTACTGTATTAAACTGAAATGGTTTCTTGTTGCACGTTCTAGACCTAACCGATGAATAGAGAATGAAAAATGTTTTGAAAAATCAATGTTATACACCGACGTTCAAAAGTATTCACATATCTAGAATTAACAAATCATCAAGTGCACGTATCTCTACGATGGTGACAATGAAGCATGATTTATCTATCCTCTTGGATACAAACTATATGAATGTAGTTATCATCTTCATGCTGGTGACAATGAGAAGGAAAAGCTTTTCTAAGCAAACAAAACACTGAAATGTAGCTTTTTTCTAAAGCTCAAATGCACCCAAAAGCAAGGTGTCCTGAGATATGTGCATACACTACTTAACATATCAAGCTAGCAAAACCACAAAAAAGAGTTGCATTATAGACAAAAACAAGAACCTAACACCTAAATCACAGAACTACAACGGTTACACCATAAACAAAACAATAACTTAGCGAATGAAGCCACAACCAATCCAAGATTACTTTTCAAATAAAACACTGAAAATAGCTCGTCTAAAAGCTCAAATGCTCAAAACCGAGGTGTCCTAACATATGCATACACTAACTTAATACATCAGGCTACCAGCACCACAATCCATTTCCATAAAAAAACCGAAGGATTTGCATCATAGACAAAACAACAACCTAGTCACCTCAATCACAAAAACTACAATGATTTCATCATAGACAAACAGTAATTCAGTCCAAGCAAACACATACAATCCAAGATTACTTCTCCCAATGGAAAACACTACTCTCAATCGACAGTCAGAGAAACAAACCTCAGGAGGATAAGTGAACAAAATCGCATTCTTCTCCTTAGTGTACAGAATCAGCTGCAACACCCCGTTCAACACTACATACTTGCCATAGTCAAAGAAACCAAACATTTTTTCTCTTCACGGAATCCAAACATTAAAGACATGTATGTATATACTTTACTACTTTTCTTTTTCAGAATCTAATGCTAATCACAAACAAGTGTAAAGCCACATTACAATTATTCTAATCGATAAATTGCAATTCTCATTTTCACCTCATCCCTAGATTAGAAACCCTAATTTCCACCAAATAGGAATCAAACATTAAACCCTCAGGCGAACTCAAAGCAATGATTGACACTACTAAGAAAGGATATAATGCGATGCATCCAATCAAAAAGTCTCTGTTCTCAGGGAACTTCTTGTTGTAGAACTGTGCAACGAGAGCAACCGCGATGATAATCGTCCCTAAGAAGAGCTTCAGGTTGCTTAGCCTCACGTCCTCCTTGTATCCACGGCTCTTAACGATCTACAAAACGGAAGGTTATTATTTAACACAGATCGGAGGATATGGAGAACGCGAAAAGGTGAATAATCTGAGAATAAAGACTTTACATCGGAGACGGACTCGTCGAGGATGTGCTTGATCGAGTTGTGATCCAACAGATTAGTCTTCTTAACATTCTTGTTCGTAGATTCTTCCTTCTTCTCTTCCATGGTGGATCGGATCAGATCCTGAAATTAACAGTTCCTCTAGGATTTATTTTCTCGTGCTACCGAGAACGCAGAGTGTAGATTTGGTTTCGAGATATATTGATGGAGCTTGGGAGACGTTTCAGTCAATACTGATGTATCGTTACATTAATTGGGCTGTAATGGGCCTAGAACGGATCATAGTCGATTTTGAATAGTTAAATTACTTAATTTGTTCTTTTTGATATCTATTGTATTAAAAATAGAGTTATTCTTTTTATCTACTGATACAAGTTGTCATTAAATTTGGACCATTTCTAGAATGTTACAAATAATATAAGTCATATAATTGATTGAACCGTATTACTTAAAATAAACCAACACAATCAATGTAAAAAGACGACCTTAATGTAAACTACCTTCAAAATACGGCAGATATCTAGGCGTATACCGAAAACGCATATTTTCTCCTACAAATATGAAATGTTTAAAAAGAATATATATCATCAAAATATGGAATATGGAAATCTACTAATTATACTTAAATTAAACCAGTGGTTATTTATGGAATATAGTTTTGGGCTTACTTTTATTTTTTGAACAAATTATATAGTTTGGTTTTTAGGCTTAATATTAAGAAAAAAATCCAAAAACATTGAATAAAATTTTCACCTTAAAAGATCAAAAAATCAATTATTATTTTCAGACCCAAAAAATATTTAATATTTTTAACAAAACAAAATTATCTATTATTAATCATTTATTTAAATCATGTACTTTAAACATGTTAATATATTTTTTTATTTTAAATAACAATCACTTTGTTTTGATAAATTTCAATTGTAACTTTTAATTAATTTATTGTATTATTTTTCTTAAATAATTTACTGATTAAAAAAATGTAAAGCAAAACCAAAAACCAAACCTAAAAACTAAAATCCAAAACCAAAAGCTGAAAACACATATTATATTTTTTTTGCTTTGTTTATTTACAATATAAACTATATCATTTTTTTAATTTGTTTTCATCTTTTCAGTTTTAAATTAGATCTTCGATTATTTAAGATTTGTTTGTTAGTAATATCAGTTCAAACTAACTCAGCGGGTTTAAAAATTAAAAACCCGAACCAAAAACTGAAAATGAAAAGTAGAAATTTAAAAACTAAAAACCAAAAACCAAAATCTAAAAATAAAAAGTGAAACTAAAAACTAATGAAAAACAATCATCACCACAAATTTTGGTGAATTGATTTTATATCAAAATATTCTTTAAATTAAAACAAAACCTAACTATATAAATTTTTAATCATAAAAAATTTCCGCGCTTTTAAGCGCGGGTTAAAATCTAGTAGTTAATTAAACATTTAACCCTTTTCAAGTAATTAAAACTCTATTTACTAAAATAACCTTTTCTCATCATATATTTGTATAATTTTGTAAT